GACAGTCAAACGTCAGTCATTAACTTGATAAAATAGCGCAATGCTGTAGCGTTTAAGTTTTATTAAGTTTTCCGAAAAAAATTTCACCAATCATCAAATGAACAATATTTCGTGCTGTAATTTTTCAATTCAATTTACGGTTTTTCATAAAGTTTGAAGAAGAAAAAAAACGATTTCGAATTGACGAAGCGCTATCCGTGCAACGAATATTGCACGTAAGCTCACGCAGTTAAACGCGAAAATGTTCACAATTAAATGAGTCTGGTAATGATAATAATATAAATAGAATGCACATAGTATACAACACGTGTAGACTACGATAATGCTTTTCGCAAACAGTCGAATTTGGATCCAGGGCCGCAACTTGATGATAACGAGCCCATGTAAAAATTTCCAGACTAGGGCCCTTGTTTATAACAGATTGTAGTTGGAATAAAGTAAGAGATAAAGGTAATATTAGAAGAGATATGGAGGCGTCCCAAAACAGGGAAATCGCGCATTCAACATTCCCGATAATTACGCCACTGCTTGAATCTTCACGTTGTCACAAATCGACAGCCATTGTTTAGCGTCGAAACAGTTTTGAAAAAATTGTACGAGAAACTATTCACATCAAACCAACAACAACACATCCGCCAAATATCTGACGCAAAACTAAACGGTTGTATTTATCCATCACTCTAAAAGTGGATTAAACTATTTTATGACGTTGTGACCTCATGTTATATACTTCAGTGCTCATTTCAAAATGATAAAACACCAAGATTCGGCTACATGCGCGAACGGATAGAGTGGATGGAACTGAAGCATGTTTAGTTATGCCGAAATGTCTGACATTAAATCGATGTCAAAGAAACTTTTTTTCCGCATAGGGTTATAGGATTTAACTTCAGCACGAATATTAATGATTTTTTTTTTTTTTGACATAGACATACTATATCGTTGGGAATCATGCTAAAATGTTGTTTAAGAAGTCACACTGGATGTCCACTTGTCGAGTTAATAGTACAAACGAGTAAAATTCACCATTTCCCCAAAAACGATTTGGTTGTCATAATAAGAAATCATAGTGAAAACCATAGGAAATGTTAAGAAATTGTTTTAATAAACGTAGAACGGTCGATACTATAATTTTGATTATGATTTCACTATGATAAACCGAATCGTCATAGAGGAATCTTGTTTATTCTTTGGGATTGAGTCTAGACAAATGTTTAATCTATGCGCCAATGATTCGTGTAAAGCGTGGATACTCGACGATAATGATGAATGTGAAATCTGGTGTGATGTTTCGCATTCGGTACATAATATATTCATTTTGTTTTCATCTTAAACAATTCTCGCCAGTCTCCAATTACGTTTCGATCGATTTTGATTTTGTATATTGTGACTTGTTTGACTTATTAGAGCGTTTTATTAATAATTTTTTGATTCTATAAAATTGCAACATTTAAAGCATGACCGTTACGCTTCCCTGTTCTTAGCTGACACTTATAAGTCATAACCGCACTCTCGCTAGGAATATATATGTATATGTATGTAATTATCCTGATTTATCCTCATGAAACGAGATGCGTTTATACTATGATTGCGTTTCACAGATCCCACGCACGTCATCGTAATACGTTACGCATTTAAATAAGAATATATATATATATATATATATATATATATATATATATATATATATATTATATCGGTATGGCGATACGACTTAGTTCATAGCATAAAACCCGGTGGTGAACAGGAGGGGTGGATGGCGGGCGGTCGTGGTGGCGGAAACCTTCGCGTCTTACACGTGCGATAATAACCGTTTGTTTTGCATATTATAACGACCGAGACCGAACCGTGATGGGTTATAATACTATATGTTTTATAGCGGTGGCGTTCCGCGCGGCAGCGTCTCCCCTACGGGCATTTTTGGGTGCCGTCGCTGATCGATTTGTCGAACAAAGAAAACTCACACCGGCACCACCGTCGATATTCTCCCATCCCCATTATATACAAGGACGAGGACGACCACATAATGATAATAATAATAACAATAATAATAATAATAATAATATATTATAATGCGGTAGGTAAGGTGTACCATATATAAATGCGTGTACATGTACACTTAGCCGGTAGCCAGTGTCGGAGAAATCCTATCCCTCCGCGGTCGATCCGGTTACACGGCAGCAACGACGCCGACAAGAAATGTTACTCGCGCGTTTACAAAACGCACTTTCCCTCCGAGTCGCTGTTCGTGTAGAACATCTACACCACCCACTCCATCGACACACGGTTTACACCCCACCAACCCTATACTTGACACCTGATTTACACACAACTATTACTACTACTACTACTACTACTACTACTACTACTACTACTACTACTATTACTACCACTACTTACATTACCATTGTCTATTACTACAACTGTCACTATTACTATACTTCTACTTATACTCAGAGCCGTCCTGAGGATTTTTAGGGCCTGGGGCAAATTAATTCGGTGGCCCCTTAATCATCACAATATTAAACGAGTATGATAAAAAAATACTCTTCAAATTTGGTAAATATAGTTTTTCAAATCTCGACCGTGTATGTAACCAGTTACCACATTAAATAAATATTAAATTTATTGCTAGATTATTTTTAAACAGCCATATTCAAAAATAATTTAAACTGAAACTTACGATTGCAAATTTCTAGGTAAATTTGAATAAAACTACATTGTTCATCATACTCAAATAATAACAAAGCAATAACGATAATAATTTACAATTGTAACTATTTAGAAATTAAAATAACTGAAAACGTAGCCTGTATAACAACGTTTAAATATAAATTCAAGTTAATTCTGTTTAATTCAATTCATTAAAATTTCATAGAGAAAAATACTTTAAGGGACCCTTTTAAATTTTCCAATAAAGGGACTTGGGGAAAAGTTGTCTATTGTTACTATTACACATTCGCTACGTTTTTACATTTACTAAATTTAACAATTTATTCAATGATACGTGTCATTTAAGATGTGTGGTATTTTTTTTTTTATTTTTTTTTTTTTTTACTTCAATATATTGAAAACTAAACAAGAGGGAATATAGTAGGTTCACGGATAATTTAATCTAATTTATTTGTTTCAATCCAAATTTCGAGTTATATTATTCGATTCCGTCGGTGAAAATAGTGACGAAACTTAACAAAATTTTTCATTTAACCCCTCATATTTATTTGTTGTAGTGATTCTTATGTATGTAAATTTTTATCATTTTTATACGTAGATAAAAAATATTTTGTGTTATGATAGTCTATTGTAAAAAATAATAATAAAATAATAAAAAATAAAAATTGATATATGGTTATTATTCATAAATATACAAATAAAAAAAATAGTTAACACATAAAGATAAATAAATAAATGCTAAACCTTAAGTATTATTATATTTGTAAATTAAGACCGGTTTCGAAATAAAAATTCATCATCAGGTATACAGGTACAGAGTCAATAAAATCACGAATCATAAAATAAAATACTAAAATCAATGAAATCTCAATTTTATTGAATTTGTATACGAGCATATCTGATGATAAATTTTTAATTCCAAATTGGTTTTACTTAACAAATATAATAATACTCCAACCTAAGCATTTATTTGTTTAAAAAATAATGTTAACTAATGTATTTTCGTTTAGATAAAATAAAAATGTCATTTGCTTGTTGAGTAATGTACATTGTGCTGTTTCTGGAAAAATAAAATACGAGGCAAGGGCACTCGTCGAGATTGTACAAATTTTTCTTTGAGATATTATTTATCTTAAAAATCTTAAAAAATGTGCTATGTATTAATTATAACTTTGATCATTATTGTGTACATTATATTTAATTTTTCATAGGATATTTTGAATATTTATCTTAACGCAAACGATTTCCATCTACACAGTAATAATTTTCTATCTGCGTCCGGGGAAACATAATTTTGAATTATCTAATCTCAACACGGACGATTAAGTCGTACGAGAAGTGACGGGGCAATTATGCTCGAGCTTGGTGAATCGTTATTATGAAACGCGAAAAACGGCGACTCTCTTTCCTGTCCCCTAATTGACAACAGCACCAGAGGTTTCGTTCGACTCCGTGCTTTTCACAACACCGTGATGGAAACCGCCGTTTTCCGATAAACGTAATAAACGGACCCGGTGCGTTGTATCGCGTATAAACGTACTTTTTTCGTCCCGCTCCTTTCTTCGGCTTATGACGCCTATGAGATAATCCTCCATAAAAAAAAAAGGTAACACGATACCCAAGTCCCGGCATTCCTGTACATTGCGGCCGATGTAAGACTGTGTTAATTCTCGCACTACACGTGTAACGTTGTTATGCGTATTATGATACGTACGTGTGCGTATTGATTCAACACCGTTTAACGCCCGCAACGGCATACAATAACACGGCCCCGCGAGAATCAAACTTAAATTTGAATAACACCGAAGCGAGCGCGCGTGCAGTCGTAGGTAATTTCGCTCGCGAATAAATTTCCGCGCCGGCAAAAATATTAATAAAACGCGGTAACTTTTCCGTGCCTCTTGCGGCATACAGCGTGACGACAAAATTTAAAAGTAATACCGGAATTACGAGTACATTTTTTTCCCTTCCCTTCGAAGAGAATATTGTAAGTTTTCGGAATATATCCGACGAAACTTTACCGTTCCCTCCCTCCCACAATGGCACCGGATCGCGAAAAAATGACGTTTTAATATTATTTATCTTACGCGCCGCTAGTGTGGAAATAAACTTTTTTAATGACAAGCTGTCGGCGAGAGACGGTGAATTACCATATTACGGGTGTACCGACGGATCGACAAACAATAGACCGGTGCGGTGGTGTCCGTTGTTATTTTTATTTGTTTTATTTTAGTTTATTTTAGTGCCTTCTGCCATTCATCGTGTGAAAATCGTATTGCTAATACGATGCGTGTACCAATCTTTGAAAACGAGACGATAGCGCTTACCTGGTGGCAGTTCTTCGATGGTAATGGCGTGAGTCCCCGGCACGATGAGCGCCACGCACACGACAAATACACCGCACAAAGACAACGTCATTTTCGACAATCTGTAAAACACGTTAAACAATATTGATCAGTAAAGTCATAACATTATTATTATACTATGCGTTAAATTTAATTAGATACTTGATGTATATACGTACAGGTGCAAAAGAACAAAAAAACTTAACTAATATTTCAAACATATTTTGTACTTAATTAAAACGTAAACGAAAATATCGTTGATTATAATCACATTATAACTCATTTTCGAAATATGAAGTTTCATCGAATTTATTATTATTTCATTACCTATTATATTTTGTTTGGTCTTGTTAAATAATTGTAAGTAATTTTAATCATATTTTGAAAAAGCTATGTTTTCATCAATTTCATTTCGTTTTTTGTTTATCATTTTTTTTTTTTTTTTAATTTCTATGAAAATCTTTGGTATATATTACAAAATTTATATCTTGTGTTCGGGTTTGTAATTAAATTAAATATAGACTTTTCCAAAAATCCATAGTGTTACTCGTGATGAATTAGGGGTATTATGGGATACTGAAAAAATACCAAGCGAACGGAAAATGTTAAAATGTTTCACCCTCAACCGATCACGAAGAAATATGTACTAATATGTAATAAAATGAAAATTAATAAAAATATTATAGTCAGTTCATATCACTCCTCTATCTTTATTTACAGTAAAAATACTGTTGACATACTTATTGCTTCTCATTACAAAATATTTTAAACGGATTTTAAACGATCCCGTCTTCGTCTTCACAAGAAAACAATTTTAAATAAAATACAATATGATACGAATAATGCTGGTATACTGTGTACCAAAGTATTTGTACTGTAGGTGTTCACTATAGATTGTATAATAAACAGATGTGAAACGCTAAAGGAAGAAGTCACAGATACCGAATGTCACCTCTTTAATTCAATCGCTCATTATAGTAATGCAATAATTGTTTTTTTTCGCATACCCTATACGATTTTGTATGTTAAACAAAAACACTGGTCAATCCAGTCTTAGACGATTTATTGCCGCTGCCGCACAGGCGATGTCACAAACATAATTAAAATACAGTTCACGCGCGGCGAATAGGTGTTCCGTAGGTTCGCGTATTATATCGATACCTAATGATAATAAATTGTACTAAATAGTTTCGTCGGAAACAAGACATTTATGAATAATCATTGAATTCGCGCGTTTACATTCTATTAATCCGACGCAATAACTCAACAATCCAATCGAAGAATGTTCTCGCGGGAGGAAATTGAACCCGAGACGCGATAGCTGTTGCAGGTCGGCGATTTATTGTTTTTATGATTTAAGGGGAGCTAACCCGACACGGACTGTACGCACGCCGCCACCGTACAACCGTAACCGAGTAGTTTGTTCTGCGACGGGACGCACCGCGGTCTTTGTACTGCTATAAATAAGTTATACGCAGATTTTTTTTTTCTTTTTTACTCGTTTTTCCCCGTTTATTTTTTCCTGCGGAACAGACGGAGATAGATTTTTGGATATATTATACACGTTGTTGGGTCGGTGTTTCACCGTAACTGGACCATAGCAACATGTATACAGCTCATAGTTGTCCAACATTCAACCGTAAACGCATTAAATCATTTCAAATGTTGTCCGGCAACATTACACGATCTAACGATAAATTTATCGAGTCTCCCTTTAATTTTATGAACATATATTACGATGATTTCATTATTGTATTATCACCGTCTTGAGCACGGGTTCGACTGTAGCATCGCAGGCGCTAACCCAGAGGTCTTCAACCCGTGGCCCACCCTGTCATAACATGCGGCCCGCGATTACATTTTAAATGTTTTCACATTAAAAATAAAATAAAAAAATTGTAATTAAAAAAAAAAATGTTTATCTATTTATGTTTTTATAATAATAATGATTTGTAATTTTAAATGTATCCACCTAATTTTAATAAATGTAAAAATAAAACTGAATTTTTATATAAAATACATGTTTTTACTACGATTGTGGCCCGCAATGTTTAAAAATAATAATTTGTGGCCCGTTGCATAAAAAAGTTGAAGACCACTGCGCTAACCTATAATAGATATGTAAATGTATTGTTACCTACGGGACGTTCTAGACAATATGTCCACGATCCATTACGGTCAACATAAAAGGTGACGTACGGCCATCGCACGCGGCCAATAATAATAATACTCCGAATGTGCGATGTCTAATCAAAATATGAGATACTGTAATATTTAGACAGAGGCAGAACTAGGGGGGTGGATAGTGCCACAACTACAATATAGGAGGCTCGTGTGTGGTAATTATATTAGACCCCTTTCTAAGATTTATTTTTGTTGTACGTCTTATTTATAAGTATCAATTTTTTAGGTTTTAAAACACGTTTCACATCATTTAGTGTACGATATATGTGTATATATCAAATTAAATACCTACAACTGTTGTATATTATACTTCACTACATATTTATGTAGTAAACTTATTTAAGTAGTTTAGGTAGATTTGTTATATGCCTACTCAAATACTCAATGGATTCATTGTTAAATAAATATTTAAACATCCTTACCTGCATTCTAAAAAAAGTTTCTTTTTATTGTAAAATAATAATATAATGTTATTAAATAATCCTATGTTTGTAAAGAGTAGTTTATTTTAAGCTAGGACTAGGGAGCCCCCAAATGTATGTAAGCTTTGGAGCCCGTGTGCGCGGCACACTCTGCACATCCGGTTTTACGGCACTGGGTGTTCATCCCCGGGCGTAATATTTTGAAGAGTATAATTTTCGTAATTATTAACAACTAATTTGATATTTTTAACTTTGTTAAACATCATTATTAGGTTAAAACTCAATAAGTTTGATTGTACATTAATTATTAGAAAAAAATTCTCGAGAAGAGTATTTGATTATTGGTGTTATGATAAGGCGTAATTTTAACATTTTCCCTCAGCGTAAAAATTCCTAGTTCCACCTCTATGTTTAAATGTATATACTGTTGTATAGCATCCGTAACGAAATTGTAATTATTTTCATTGTTAGTGCTTTTGGCATTGATAGTGAACTACTATTGTTGCTCTAAGCAGTGCCGTAACTAGAGATGTGAGCTTAGTAAATTTACCCGATAAAATTTACGGGTAAAAGTAAATTTACGTAAATTTTACAAAGTATTTTTTTAACCGGTATTTTTTTTACCATTGAAAAAAATTGAATGACCCCTTATTTTAAATGTTTTCACTAGCGAAATGCGTTTTATTTACTGTTGTAGATGATATACTCATATATAGATATAGATATCTATATAAAGATGTATTGTATATTTTATTATTTGTTATATTGTTTAACTTTTAATTATTTGTTTTATTTTGATAAATGAAATTACTAATTATATCAAAAACATACATATACAAGTATAATATGTTGATAATATTAAAGTGATGTTTAATGTTCAATACAAGTTACATTGTTTACTTTACATATTGTTTTCTGTTCTGAATGAAATAACTTATTTCAAATAAGTAATGGTTTTTTTTTCTTAAGAGCCATTTAAAATTTTAGATAAAGACAAAAAGTCAATAGTCATGTAGAAATAGCGAATGTGGAATATGTTAGATAGGTTGGTAAGTAAAAAGAAAAAGAAACATTCATCCTACATTTTAAAACTTTGTAAAAAATGTTGAAGAAGGTAAGAAACTTAGTACTTAAGTTGTATTTAAAAATTGAATAAAAATTATAATAAAAAATTTTTTTTTTAAATTTACCAATTTACTGAGTTTAACGTAAATTTACGTAAATTTTACCGGTAAATTTACCAACAATTTTTTAATGGTAAATTCCACATCTATAGCCGTAACTAAACAGGTCTCGAAAACTCTGCGCAAATCAAAATCTTTAGGCCCCTTATCAATATGAATTTTTTCAATAGCAACTAAAAATATTTCATTTTTAGAGGGGGAGGGAAGGATTTTTTAAATTGTAAATTTACGACGAATTAAAATACATTAAAATACGACACTGAATACATAAAAAAATATATGATTGTCATTGAAATATTTAGTTTACTCTGAGCTATTATACCGAGGGAGAATTAAAAATTGAATACAGTAATTTTCTGCCTATATTATTATACATAATACTTAGGCTGTATTATTGGACAATAAATACTAGTTAACTAGAAAATATAAAAACGTGTTTTACAAAAGAAAATAAAGAAATAAATATTATATTTAATTTTAAAACAACTGGTACTTATTATTTTCATATCTGAAAAGAATGAACAGCTGATTAGTCAGTGAAAATGCGTTTTCTCATTGTCTGAATTTACAACGATTATTGGCAGAGTATATAGAAAAGGCGCAATAATTCAAAAGGAAAGTGCATCAAATCGAGAAAATTGGCACTGTTCAAACAAAAATTAACCATGTATGAATTTTGAATTTATCAAATCGGTTTAACTTTTATAGAATGTGGAGTAGGTATATTTTTGCTGAAAATGTATGTAAAAAGATCCTCGATAGGGTTTCGAATTTCTTCAACCCACACCTTGTGCATGGACATGGTTGGTGACACTTGTTTTCAGTTTTGGCACTTTATGGAAGAAAGGCAGCAAAATGATGTTACCCATAGGCGGAAGAATCTTAAATACAGCCCTGCGTGAGAATATATATGCAATAATCTAGAATACGGGTAATTATATTGGTTTCATTTAAATAAATTATACATTGAAATTTTCATACCAGTCATTGGACCTTTTGATGTCCCATAATATAGTATGAGGCGCAGAGCTTGTGTTAAATTTACACTCTGCACACCCGGTTTATACGGCACTGGCTTTGCGTTATACTCTACGTCATTGATGGTATTCACATAATTTTAATTGCTTTTTGATATCTACAAGTGTTCCATGCAAATTTAATAGTGGTAAGAAATGTGAGTACATTTATAATTGTAGGACTATTTAAGCCGCATTTAAATTAAAAATGCAACGCGTATTTGATGTAATGTTTTCACAAGTCTATTAATATTTGTAATAAATTACTTTTCTATGG